TATACACAATGGTAGGATGCAATTCATTTCATATTACACATACAGAGCACAATATTTTAAGTCACTAATTGTACACAAAGTATTTTCACACCATTCGTGTCTTCATACATGTACTTAGGGTAATGATGTCTAACTCATTCCACCATCTTTCCTACCCCCATACTCACTCCCTTCCCCTGCCCTCCCCTTTGCACTATCTAAAGTTCCTCCCTTCTTCTCATGCTTCCCCGCACCCCATCGCCATTATGAATCAGCATCCTCATATCAAAGAAAACATTTGGCCTTTGTTTTTTTGGGATTGACTTGCTTCACTTAGCATTATATTCTCCAACTTTATTCATTTACCTGCAAATGCCATGATTTTATTCTCTTTTAATGCTTTGTGTATATATACCAAAGTTTCCCCATTCATTCACCTAATGAAGGGCGTCTAGGTTGGTTTCACAATTTAGCTATTGTGAATTGTGCTGCTATAAACATTGATGTGGCTGTGTCCCTGTAGTATGCTGTTTTTAAGTCCTTTGGGTATAAACAAAGGAGTGGGGTAGCTGGGTCAAATGGTGGTTCCATTCCCAGCTTTCCATAAAATCTCCATACTGCTTTCCAGATTGGTTGCACCAATTTGCAATGTATGAGTGTGCCTTTCCCCCCACATCCTCGCCTACACTTATTGTTGTTTGTATTCTTGATAGCTGCCATTCTGACTGAAGTGTGATGAAATCTTACAATAGTTTTGATTTGCGTTTCTCTAATTGTTAGAGATGTTGAGCATTTTTTTCATGTTTGTTGACTGATTGTATATTGTCTTCTGAGAAGCCTGTACAGTTTCTTGGCCCATTTATTGATTGGGTTGGGCTTTTTTTTTTTTTTGGTGTTAAGGTTTTTGTTACTCATTTTTTAAAAATATTTTTTTTTAGTTGTAGGTGGGCACAATACCTTTATTTTTTATTTATTTATTTTTATGTAGTGCTGAGAATCTAACCTAGTGCCTCACACATGCGAGGTAAGCGCTTTGCCACTGAGCCACAACCCCAGCCCCTACTTTACTCATTTCTGTCCATGTTTAAAATACAAACGTTTCATCCATTTTTAAGAACATTTTTTAAAAAAATTCTATACTTTTCATAAATGTATTTTTTTATTCCTTTTTCTTCCTATTTAAAACTTGCCTAAATATAGTATCTCTAATTCCTCACCTCTCAGTAATTCATTTATCTATTATAATATGAATTTTGTCCCCACTATTCAAATGAAAATTTTTTCATCAAATTAACCATTTACCTTGTTTTTTCTATTAACACTTGCTACCTACATGTGCGCGCGCACACACACACACACACTCACTCCAAAACTTTGTGACTAGAACAACAAGCATTTATTGAGTTACCATTCAGTTCAGCCCTGAACTCAGCTGAACAAATTTTATGATTTTTTTGTGTCTGAAACAAAGTTATTAAGAAACATCTCAGAAGAATGGGAGAAAGGACAGAGGAGCAGGGCAGGGGGAGTGTCCCAGGGAGAACAGTCTCTGTTGTCTTCTGCAAGTGGGGGCTTCAGAGGAGACTCCTGATGTCCAGGAGGATGCAGAAGTGCCCTTGGCTAAAACCTGGGCAGGGGAACCTGAGGCAGTTGACACGTGTTGCATCTGCAGCTGTTCAGAGGCCACATGGCCGATGCCCACGCAAGGTGTCAGGATCCACAGAGGACAGATTCTCTGCCTATTTATTTTTCTGTTGTAGTTGGACACAATACCTTTTATTTTACTTATTTACTTTTATGTGGTGCTGAGGATCAAACCCAGGACCTTGCACATGCTAGGCGAGCACTCTACCGCTGAGCCATAACCCCAGCTCATCCATCATGACAATTCTTACACTTGTAGATATATGACTTCAGTTTGAGAAGTATTCAAATTATCTCTTTAAAATTTTTATCATCCCCTTTCCTTTTGAAACTTGCATTCTGTGTATGATGGTGAATTTGATGGTATGGTAGGCTCTATTTACTTATTTTCTTCATTTAATCTACCTTCAATATCAATGATTCATCCTTCTCCCTGCTCAAATTTTCTACTAAAGCCCCATAATGAATACCACATTTCAGTTCTTGTAATTTTCTGTTCCAAAATTTCTTTTTGGCTCCTCTTATGCCCTCTAATTTCTATCTTCTGTGGATAACTTTGCTTTGTTGAAATGTCGTTGTCTTATAGTTCTTCAGTTCTTTGTCCATGGTTTTCTCTAATTTGTTGAAAAGACTTAAAACAGTAGATTTAAATTCTTTGTTTAGGAAGGCCAAGGCTTGGGCTTCCTCAGGGATGGTTTCTTTTAATTTATTTTTTCTTGTGAATAGGCCGTATGTTCCTCTTTCTTTTTATGCTGTTATTTTTCTCCCATCTGGAGGTTGTACCATTGGGTCTTCATGACAAGATGTGTATCTCCCTTGCCACAGTGAATAATTCATATTCAGTGTCATGCCTAGAATGTACCAAGTTCCAGGAGGTACTGTGGATAATGATGAATTATGTGTGGATTCTTTACATCCAGGTCTTTCAATCTAATGTGAGAAAGACAGCAGACACACATAGACAACCACATGCACATACTAATGATTACAGAAGTGGTCAGCAAAACGTCACATGAAATTTTAAGGGTGAAAGTAATCCTAAGTTTAGGAGGGCAAAGATGTCATTGTGGAAAGAGGTAAGGATTAAATTGGGTTAAGAGAGAAATTGCATGAATAGGGCCCTTAGGGAGAAGAATTAGCCAGAGGTAGGGAAGAGTATATGGAGGGACATGAAGCTTAAGAATGTGTATTATCTTATAAAAGGTTTTTTAATGTCTTGCCACAGACTGTGAATTAATCACCATTGCAAGAGAGTTTTAGGGGACAGTTTGAAACTTATTACTGGGAATAATATATTTAGAAAGAGAAGGTATATGTCCTGTTTTGGAGATGAGTGAGAGGATACACTTAGTATTTTAAAAATTTATTTATTTAATTTTGCTGGTGCATTATAATTACACATAATATTGAGATTTGTTGTTACATATTAGCATTTCAATACCAGGTACCTAGAAATTTGGCTCTTTTAAAAAATCACTGCTGAAGTAATATTTTGAATATATTTTCCTAAAGTGTTTCTCTATGCCAAATCATCTCTATTTCTAAAAATTTGGTTGAGTTTGCTTTATCTTTATACAACACATGATTTTCTGGTGTACTATTAATAAAATATTAATTAAGCATTGAGGACTTTAAATTTTTTATGTATTTATATCACAATTCATTGAAATGCCTCTTAACAGTTTGCTCCTGACACATGGGGTAACTGATTTCAAGTGGCTTTGATCACTATCATGTAAATCAGCCTGATGTAGAGTTCTGCATTGTCCAGGACCCTGTATTGTCAGTCTCCAAAACCAAGAGATAATATTTTCTGGATCATTAATTAATTTGAACCTATAAATATTCTCTCTGAATATTCATTCTCTTCTCTGCAAAATGCATGTTTATTTTTTGCCCATGTTCTTTTGGGTTTACACATATCTTCTTATTGACTTATAGGTACAAATCAGCATCATCAGGAAATTAAATGTATTAGAAATAATTTTCTCTCTGCAACTTTTCTTTTTACTCTATCTTTTAATAAAAGGATTATTAATTTTAATGTACTTAAACTTATCATTTTACCTTTAAGTGTTTTGTGTCTTAAGAAATCTTCTTATACTACAGAGTCATACAAAATGTTTACTTCATATTTTCTAAAATTTTAGTTTTCCATTTGAGATTTAATTGCTTAAGTGTGAAACTGACTTTTTGTGTAAGAAAAAAAGTTGCTAATTTGAAAGAAATGTTTTACTTTTTTCTCCACATGGAATTTATTGCAAATCTGGTCATTTCTTAGAAACTAGCTATCCACATATATCATATGCCAAGTATTCAAATTCTATGTACCTCTTTTACCCACTACCAGGTTTTATCTTTTTTCTTTTTTTTCTTTCTTTTTTTTTCACAACATTACAAAGCTCTTGACATATCATATTTCATACATTAGATTGAAGTGGGTTATGAACTCCCAATTTTAA